AATGGAACTAAAAATGCACTATTTCGTTCATGAAAACTATATTTCTTCATTGATTTGATTCAAACTTGCAGAATATGCTTAGCTCACCGAGTGACATCATATGCACCCCAGTTTTTTCAAATTTGGTTGACCTAAGGTCATCTAGAGGTCATCACAAATTTTAAGGAAATCTGCCCGAATGTGTAAAGATGAGAGGTGTGTGCTCCATTTTAACGTTTTTGGGTTTTACTACCTTGATTTACTTCTACTTGGTGTTTGCAAGCTGCAAGAACGCTTGGGTCGGGCCAACTGAGGTCAACTACGGTCAAACTACGTTTGGCACACAATGAGGCTAGAGCTTCAAAAATGGTGTTATTGTGTTCCTTGTGACCAGTCAATTGAATTGCTATGCAATAGGTATGACGCATTTTGATTAACTTAAACTTAATTAATTATTATAATTGTTCACTTAATTTTTAAGAAACTTTAAAGCTCACTTAAATTGGTAATTAAGTATTTTGCTCGATGCGCACGGACGTGCTGAGTTCACTGGTGTTTTTATTTTTGCTCTATCTTTACTAGATAAAAAGTTACAGGCGAAAACCTTTGGCATATTTTAGCGAACTTCTTGCACTTATACCTACCTTCCCCCAACCTCTTCCCCCTAAATATTGACTTATAGTCACCAAATTTTTACGGGGGCGAGATATCCTATGGCCCCACCTACCCTGTAAATTTGGCGTTTCTAAGTGCCATAGGAGTCAATCGCCAGGGGCGGGAGGGGGGGGGGGGGGGGTTGACCGTCCGTGTTACGAAAAAGGCCCTCGCCTGGCGAGGGTTAAGCCTCTGATCTCGACCTCTGACCTTGAAAATTGACCTGAGGTCAAAAAGTTTAGGTGGTTCAGAGCCGTCTCGTAGAGGCCTTGCGTTTGGTACCGTTTTTGTTTCCGTAGCTTCTGTATTTACGGAGTTAGACGGGGGGGGGGTAAATATTGTCCTCCCGGGCTGCCGTGGTTGAGATTACCCCTGGGTTGGGTTAACCCTCGCCCCGTTGGGGGGGGGGCCATTTTGGCCCCCCCCCCCCCTGTGGTTTTTCCTGAATAGCAAGCAAACGGCGGCGCGCAGCGCCGCCAAATTTTCAGTACCTTCCCGGGCATCAATTTGACACCTTCACACCAAATTTCAAGTCTTAGGTCACCTTAGGTCAGGAGTTATTGAGGTCAAACTGAGGTCATGTTCGAGCAAAAATGGGCAAAAAACATGCAATCTTGAAACGCTCACCAAATCTACAGTTATCAAGCAATTTCAAAGTTCTTTATATGGTCTAGTAGACAAAAAGCGGCGCTACAAAACTGCTATCTCGGATTTTCAAAATTTTTGGTTTTTGACCAAAAAAAATTCAAAAAATTGATTTTTTTAGAAAAACTTTGAAAAAATCCGAAAATTTTTAGAATTTCGAAAAAACCGGAATATATGTGGTAGTCCCAGCGCTCTTCTATATACATACCAAATTTCAGATCCATATCTCGTTTTTTGGCCAAGTTATAGCGAAAAAACTGTTCAAAAATGATGACGTCAAATTTTTGAATTCAATTTTTAGCAATTCTAGACCACGTACGGCAAAACAAAGACCACCATTGAACTCCCCGTGACGAGCTGCATCGATTCAATACCCATTTTATGCAAAAATATTAACTTTGAAATTTGACCTAATTTGACCTGACCTTGACCTGACCTTGACCTGACCTTGACCAAAACGTGATCTAAGCTGGCCCCAAAGGCTGCCTGACCCATATAATCGCATTTGTCATGTAAAATGGACCATAAAACATGTATCACACGACACTTCAATATTGTGACCCCCCCGTGACCTGACCTCTGTGACCTGACCTGGTATCAGTGACCTCAAATAGCAAAATATGTGTTTGAAGAACATTTCCCCATCGATGATTTTCAATGAAATGCATTTTACTCGATTTTACAACGCATTTCTTGAAGTGCCTGTAAACGGTGAAAATTGGACCTTTGACGTGACCTGTGACGTCATCGGTTTGACCTAGGTCAATAAAATTGGGTCACAAGGTAGTTCCCCGTTGGGGCTATCCAACGCCGTTTACCGCTTGTCGCTATGTTGCGTGGTTCTCGAGATCTTAGGGGGGGGGGGGCCAAAATGGCCCCCCCCAACCGGGCGCGTTGCTCGGCAGAGCCCAACGGGGCGCGGGTTAAAGAAAATATCAAGTTGCTAGGATAGTAAGTAAAGTAGGAACCTATACCTATCTTAGAACATTTTAATCAAATTGCCGTCGAAAAATATGTCAAATTGATGGTAGGTCATATTGTCAAATTGGAAAAGGTATACACCCGGTATTTGAAACCGTTCATCAGTTATCTTAGAAAAACGAATGGGTCTAATCGGATGTGACCCTCCTCGGCACACATCTCTGTATCTCCACCCCTCCCACCGCCACTACCCCAGGTACACACGGGGCGGCGCCGGTCGTCACCGGTCGTGTACCCTGTACCGTCCCTTCTCCCCCCCCCCCCTCCCCAGCCACGACCCCAGGTACACACACGGGGCGGGGCCGTTCGTCACTGTCCGCGGCCGCCCGGGCCGTTTACAGTTCCACCACGGCTAGTCTAAACAGCGCCTGGGCGGGCGGCGGGGGTCGGCCGGGGGCGCCCGGTCCCACGCCGGTACGGTTACACGGCGGGGCACGCCACCTCGCCTGCATTCATAGCTTCCTGCTGAGTCACAGCCACCGGAACATATACCTACGTCCTACATATACACTAGTGATGTCAATTACGGAAAACCAGAATACCGATACCAAACCAAATACCAACCAAAACCGTGGAGAAATACCGAAACCAAACCAACTTGGGAACATGAGGAAAATACCAACTTTTTACCGATTTCTTAGCCTCTTTAAACATTAGCGAGGGTTCATGATACCAACAAAATACCAAACTCATTAGGATTGAAATACCAAATACCGAGTTGGTATCGGTTTGGTATCGGTATACCAAAAAGTTGGTATCCGATTGACATCTCTAATACACACATACCGCCCTCCTGTGCTGAGCTGATGCACGGCTCCGTGCAGTCATTGCCACCGGGTCAATGCCTACATACACGGCCTGTGTTGAGTCAGGACCACCTAACTACACACACGGCCTGTGCCGAGTCAAGGCTAACCGGGCCGGCGAAAGTTTGCAGGCTTATGAAGGCCTGAATTCGTTCAGTGTCAGTTGCTATCACGTTGTTTGATGCGGCTTGTTGCGGCACTAGTACTGTGTTGAAATTACGTGCTCCCGACTATCAGAAACGTGGACCGGATCCCGTCTGTGAGCGGGTGCTGTTTATCGTAGCATAGCTGCAGAGTGCCATGCCATAATCGAGGCCGCTGAAAGCCCAAACACTGCAGAGAATAGCGGGGAATCTCGCGGCTAAGTTTGTCCGAAGCTCAGAAATAGCTCAGTTACTGGCAGTTTTCGGAGTTCTCCCGCTGAGAGCTTTACGACTCCCGGGGCGAGCCCTGACCCGCCCCTGGCACCGACCTCCACCGTCCGGCGTCACTCTTGGGCCGACCCGAGGTCCACCGAGACCCTGTGACCTGACCAGTCTGTTACTCGGAACCCGTATTAGTCAGACGGAGAATCCACCGGAATCTGCCGAGCACCTGTGACCTGACCAGTCGGTTACTCGGAGTACCTGTGAGTACTGAGTTGTGACCTGCCCAGTCGGTTGCTCGGAGCACCTGTGACCTGCCGAGTCTGTTACTCGGAGCACCTGTGACCTGACGAGTCGGTTACTCGGGCACCTGTGACCTGACGAGTCTGTAACTCGGGCACCTGTGACTTGACGGGTCGGTTACTCGGAGGCCCTGTGACCTGACGAGTCTGTAACTCGGCCCGGCCCGGCTCGGACGGCGGTCGCTGTGGCAACGTGGCCAGGTTTGGGCCGCCGCCGGCCTGCGTCAGCGCACTCCGCCACCCATACACAAACGGGGGCGGCGCGGCGGGCGGAGCTGTTTGTTGAACTGGTCCTCTCGGCGGGGAGGTTCCGGCGGCGCCGCGCCGACCGACGGCCGACGCCGCCGCGGCTCCGGTTCGGCCGACAGCCAGACGCACCGCGGAGCGAGCGGAACGCGGAGAGTAGCTCAGACCACGCCCCGAGCGACAGGTTCAGTCTTCAGACGTTACCTCATCTGCCGACTGGCTGGGTCAGCATCATCGCCCCCAGTTCCAAGGTCACCCTTACGGTCTTCACGTATGACCAGCACATTGGCTGAGTCGAATGATGTCAAACTGTCTTGTTTGTCCGTTGCTGGGATTTTTCGTGGCTCTACTTCCCTCATTGTGGCTATTTCTTCTTCTTCTAAGTACCTATTGACATTCCCAGCTACAGTAACCATCCACCCACAACCATCGACTCCAAATCAACAGGCGGCGCCATCTCGCAACGTTCCCTGACGCCCCACACCACGCTCTCTGAACAGCAGCAGTGTGAGCGCTGCTCACTGCTCAGTCCCAGTCCCCCGCGTACTGGGTCACCCGTGCCCCTGAGCGCAGACCGCTGCACCTGCGTCTGTCCCGTGTCCAGTGACCTACGTCTGACCCGTTCCGCTGTGACCCGCGTCTGACGCGTGCTCACTGCCCCGTCCATTAGGGAGCTGTGTGATCTGCCACTGACCCCAGACCACTGTGATCCACCTCTGACCTCTGCGCCCCCGCCTTGTTACCTGCCTCCGATCCCTTCCCATGCCCGCAGAGCTGGTGACCAAGGAGGGCGGCGACCTGACCTCTGACCGTCCCCCCGTGACCCGCCAATGACCCCTCCGTCCGCTGCCCGCAGAGTGTGGTGACCTGTCACTGACCCCGTCCCCCTGTCCACAGAGCGTGGTGACCCGCCTCTGACAGGTCCCCCGCCCGCAGAGCGTGGTGACCTGTCACTGACCCGCCTGTCCCCCGCCCGCAGAGCGTGGTGACCCGCCTCTGACCCCTCCGTCCGCTGCCCGCAGAGCGTGGTGACCAAGGAGGGCGACGTGCTGACCGAGACCCAGGTGGGCGACGGCAAGACCTCCACCCTGGTGCGCAAGTTCACCGACAGCGCCATGGAGATGGTGGGTGCACCCCCTCCCGTCCCGTCCCGTCCCCCGGCTCGCCCAGCCCTATACCCGTCCGCCCAGTCTCCGGCCGTCCTCCCTCCGTCGCGCGGCTCAGGCAGTTGGCTCAATTGGATGATGGCCGTATTACGGCGCCCCGCTGCCCAGAGCAGTCGGTGCACAAAGGGAGACGGCTGCAGCGCACAGCACCCAGTTGGCAGAGGGGACACTGAGAGAGCGCTGCAGACGGGATTGATATGACCCGGAGCGCGCCCCAGAGGGGCCGGCCGGGGAGACTGGCGCGTAAATAGACAGCCCGGTCTGTTTACTGCCCACGGCCGCCGGCAGATGTGGTGTGCGTTTTTGCGCTGTCCAGTTTTTGCTAGTGCCCGTTTATCAATCTGTTCCATTTGCGCCGTAAACTACTGTTGGATCTGGGTTGCGCGGCGACAGACGATGTCTGGGCAGCCCCCGGGCCCTCCTCCCCGACTGACCCCTCCCCCCCCCCCCCCCTGTGTCCTCGGCAGACGGTCAGCTGCGGCGACGTCGTCTGTAAGCGGGTCTACACGCGGCAGTAGGAGGGGAGCAGCGAGACGCCCGGACCACCGGGGCGCAGGGCTATGAGCGGCCCGACCGCGACGGCCGCCGGCCCTGGACACATCACTACCGACAATACACGACTCACGGGACGAGCTCAGCGTTTGTGGACGGAGCGGGTTATTATAGGAGCGGTGGTTCGGGGGAGAAAGGGTTCCCAAGCGGTGTCCACAGTCCTACCGGCCTGTCGACAGGATGGCGACGCACCGCAGAGTATCAATGTCGGGGCCTGGTAACGTATGTAAGCTCTGTCGAATGAACGGAGGGATCAGTGTCCTAGAGGTGAGGATGGCAGGGCTGTGCAACGACTGTGGTAGGCGGCTTTGCCAGCCTACTACCAAGGACTGCATCAGTGTCATCTAATAATGCGCCGTACCAAAAATTTCACTCACATGGAAAAAAGACACTATCAGGCCTCACCAGGTGGCCTCCTCTCGCTAACTTTTGAGAAGCTATGTCTGCCACAGAGCTTCTCAAAATTTATCTATCTACGATTGTTCAATCGCGTTATCACTAATACTGCTCAGTTTAGGACGCACACATTTATATTTGAACCGCAGAACGGTACATTAGGTACAGGACAATGGCATTTGAGACCGAGTCATAGAATAGCTGCTCTGAAATATTGCACTGGTATACAAACCGTCCCCGTCAGACGTTACGATTGTACATCACCATCGGTATCATATTGCCGCAGATCGAGAACGACGCGCAATGGCCCATCAATTTCACCGGCGAGACACCCGGACTCCATCAGCTAACAATAAACAACTCCATAAAATGTCTATCGGTCGCCGCGTGTGACGACCCTATTCTGGTAGGCACTGGTAGTGGCGTGTTGGTCCACCGGTTTAATACTGCCCGCCCGCGCTCCGAGCGGCTCCGTCCCGGGGGATCCCGGGCCAGTCGGATCCACCGGTGGCTATCCGCTGACTAGCTGGTTCTCTGAGAGGTCTGGCCCGACGGCCACAAGGCACTGGTATCTCTCCCTGCTTCGTAAGGACGGTATCACAACGGCCGGGCGGCACCCAGGCGGGCAGACCGCCGGCCCAGTGCGGCCAACGGCAACCGTCGCCGCCTCCGCCCGCATCCTGAACGTAACGGGACCGGCCGGACTGACCTGACCGGGCCGGACTGACCAGACCGGGCCGGACTGACCTGACCAGCAGGACTGACCAGTCACAGCGGAGGCGCGGTCCCCGCCGGCGCCGGCTATAGGGCGGCCATGAAGTTCTTCTTGCCGCCGCCGCCGCCGACCGGAGCCAGACGCGCCGGCTTTCGCGCGTCCGGCTGAAAGCCTGGGGAGGTTCAGGGGCGTCAGGGGAGATTCAGTCGTCTGGCTGAAAGCCTGGGGAGGTTCAGGGGCGTCAGAGGAGACTGAAAGCCTGGGGAGGTTCAGGGGCGTCAGCGAATGGCTGCCGAGGCTAGGGGAGGCGAACAACGTAAAATTAACCCGCGCACCGACGGGGGTCTGCGCCAACTTCGCACCGACGGGGGGGGGGCGGATGACCGCCCCCCCCCCCTGAGATCTCGAGAACCAAGCAAGATAGCGACAAGCGGTAAACGGCATCGGATACGCACGGTCAAGATCTACAATTTTTACAAAGGTCATTTTCAGGTCAGGTCAAAGATGACGTCACAGGGGTCGAAAAAGTCAAAATGGCGGCGCTAGATATGGAGAGTTTTTCTCGAATAACTTTCAAATTAGTCAAGATAGGAACAAACTAAGGGCATCATCGTGATCCTCTCGTCAATCCGCATCGAATGATATATATGTTGACCTCGAAAGGTCAAGGTCAAAGGTTGACCTCAGGTCACGTGACCTCGAGGTCATCATGTATATCATTCGATGCGTCTTGACGAGCTGAACACAATGAGACCATCCACGCGGCTGTATCTTGTTCCTGTACGGAGTTATTGGCCAAAAACCTTTGGTGACCTTTGATGACGTCACATGACCTCACAGCTGCCCAACAGCAAAACAGACCTCAAGGTAGTGAAGGTTGATCGTATATGAAGTCATGTGTGGTATATGGGGCCATTCCGACCCGTTTTAGTGGTAAAAACAGGGAGTTGATTTTTCCCCCGTTGACTTATAATGGGGAGGTCGCGAAATTGACCTGACCTTAGGTCACCGATATCAAAATTCCGAGATGAACAAATTGTAGCTACTAATGACCTAATAACATCCTGCGATTTTCAAAGGCCTCCGACATCTACTGTAGCTCTGGCACGGTGACAAAGTTGCAAAAAGTGACTTGAGGTTGGGTCATTCAAAGTGACCTGGTGACCTGACCTTAAAAGGTAGGAGGTTAAAATTTGCACACCATGTGTAAAATTGATGAGGGAATAGTTATACAAAATTTCGCGGCGCTACGCGCCGCGGTTTTCCCACTATTCGCGAAAAACCTCAGGGGGGGGGGGGCGGATATCCGCCCCCCCGTCGGTGCGCGGGTTAATGCAGTGTTTACCGCTACGCGGATAGTCGGGGATGCCAGCTAGGCGCAACAATGGACAATATCGGCATCGCATAGCTTAGACTCGCTCAATAGATGACAACTGAGATGACAGCCAGTAAAACGTTGAAAGACTATCATGACAGATATAGATATTAGATACTTGAAGATCGTTCGACTGGTCGTGAACACAAATCATGAGCTGTATGCACTATGCAATATGCATGGTTCCAATACATGCAATACGTAAGTGACAAGCAGCAACGCATAGCTGTTGCAACAAGCAATAAAGTGCAAAAAAAGACATACCTCTCCCCATAGGTGCAAAGCTGTGGTTGGATCCTGCGAAGGAAGGGAGAGGAGAACATAATGTAAGGAAAAGGTTGGCGCCGGCGGTGTCGTTGTTTTCTGATGTCGACACGGTCTCAGAACGTTACTTTTGATAAATGACACTATACGTTTTGATAAATGCCTTTTATCAATACCATCCGTAGAATATCGGAAAATGGCCCATTTTATACACAGCATAGGACGGTGGGGCCGGTCAGCTCCCTCCCTCTGGGGTACCTCTCGCCGTTATTTGTAGGGACTGGGCTGGGTTCTGCTCACCTGTGGGGCTGGGCGGGGCGCTCTTGGTCCAGTAGGCAGCAGGGTCCATGTAGCCTGGACGGACAGGAGGGCAGGACAGCACAGGTGAGGAACAGAGAGGCACAGATGAGACAAAGGGAGAAACGGATAACACATGGGTGAGGCATGGGGAGGGAGCGAGTGAAACACGCCCGAGAAACCGTGCGGGTGTACTGCTCGAGCGTGCTACTAGACCCGGATGGTGTTGATACTCAGGGACTCAGGTGGCACTCACGAGCTCGTGCGATTGTGGACGCGTGTGTGCCGCGAGTGTCAGACTTCAGAGCACTCCACTGCGCACCGGAGTGGTAGTGTGTGCGAGGGCGCCGACAGACCGCGGCTGGTGGGTCTCTCACGGACGTCCGTCCAGGCCACACGTCCGGGTGTGTGCCGCACACGGCCGAGAGAGCCACTGGCTGCCGGGACCGTGCTGACTGCTGGCGGACCATCTCAGTCCGGCGCCGAGCCCGCCCTGTACGGTAGTCTGTGTGACCAATTACTGTGTGACCATGCTGTGACCATCTGTGTGACCATAGCGAGGTGCTGTGTCGGTGGGCCCCTTCCGCCTGTACCGAGGGTGGTCACGCTGGCCCAGGAGCTGGGTCCCTGGCCGGTGGCGGCGGGCGCGCCGGCTGCGCCGCCCAAAGACTGCAGTCCGTGGAAACTGCGACTCAGACCGTGACTGTAGGCCAGGCTCTGAGACAGGCCCCGGCCGGGCCGAGCTGTAACCGCGCCAGTGCGTACGTCAGGGGCCGTCAGAGGGTACACGAGCACCGCCCGACGCTGGTCGCGCCAGGGGAGACCAACAGACTGGGCGGCACCAGAGAGGCTCAAATAGCGGAATATCCAGGCAGAGGTCAGCGCCATGACTGAATGACAGAGGTGAATGCTGCTATCGTACACAATCCGATCTGCCGTAGCTGGTATGCCATGATCTGGTATGCCATGATCACAGTCACAAACTGTGACGCAAAATTGGTTGTGAAGTCCTTCTGTGGGTGGCTGCGAATGGATATTTTGTGACCTCCAGTGGAACAACTATATGCCTATACAAAAATGGCCACAACACATACAGGATGAATGAAAGCTATGCGTCATCAGGACATAACACAACACACAACCCGCACATCAATGAGAACTGCAATGAATGCCTCAGGCAACATCGACAAATCATGCAAAACGCTATGAGAGCTCGATGGCTGGCACTAGGCTACGCTACCAAACCTTAGTACCTATTTACAATTATGTATTTTCATCGTGCAATCGGTCCATGAACACATGGCTATTGTGACTGACATGTCATAAAAACGGAACATCGGGATTCAGTTGCACAACTAACACACACATTCACGCACACACACTCAGCTCACAGCACATTTGTACCACGGGCTCAGTCTCTGATCAGCCTGAAGCGTCTATGAAAAACACCTGCGACGCCCAGTCATAAGAGCCAGGCGCTGCTTTACGAGTGACCCAGGGGTCGGCAAATGGTGGGGCATGCCCCCTTTGGGGGTAATGGAGCCCTTTCGGTGGGGGTAATGAGGGATTCTGAGAAAGCCTATCTTTTTAGAGTTTGTAGCTCCAGTGATGGAGCCATCGTGACTGTTGCATCCCAGGGTTCAAAGATTAGCCCAGGCCAAAGGCACAGCACACATTGATTAGATACCAATTTTCACGTACCTGCTCGCCTCACCATCTCACCCCTCCGTACAGTCGTACAAAAGCAGCTGCAACTTTTAACCGTCGCCCGTCTGTTGGCGTTTCAACAGCCGCTAACGTAAGGGGGAGGAGTCGATCGGACCCCCGCGGCCTCTCGGACTCTGATATGGAGCTGTGCATAAAAAAAGACGAGCGTGCTACCCGTGACAATAGGAAGCCGCTGCTGCCCATTTTTAAGGTCCTTGGTCATTCCGTCTCATTCAAGAGAGCAATGACAAGTGTCGAGAAAATCGGGACCCGCTATAACTTCTTGATGTGAGATTTTATGGCTCAAGATGATCTCCAGAAAAAGCTCATAAGCCAACGGTCATTATGGGTCCAGAGGCCAGTTTTACCAACAGAAAAATAGCCGCCTGCCGGAATTTTTGCCTAAAGATCGTTTCGCATATGGAGCGTAAACGGTAAAGCCCTATCCGCTTACGAGCCCATCGCGTTTACACTCCGTATGTGAAGCGGTCTTGAGGCAAAAATTCCGGCAGGCGGTTATTTTTCTGTTGGTATAACTGGTCTCAGGTCATGATATTTTCCAGGCTGGTAAAAAAAAAAAAAAAATGATGGGCTCGAGGGTACAATTTGGTCGTGATCCAATGCCTTTTATGTGAGATTTTAACGAAAAACCACCCGCCGGCCGCCGCCCCTATAGTACAAGGGTTAAATGGGATATAGCATAGGCGGCGGAACGGGGAGGGCACCGGGGCGCCGTGCACCCTTTGATTTTTGCATTTTAACATTAGCCCTATGGGCGTTGCATGGAAAGAATGGGACCAAAAGTCGGCAGTGCCCCCCCCCCCTTAATTGAAGGTGTTCCGCCGCTACTGGGATATAGGTATTAAATGTTTTGTGGAGGAAGTGTCATCTTTTAAATTTGATGCATTGGAAATGCACAAATGCCCAAAGAGTTCCAGGACGGTATGGAATTTCAGAAAACTTGGTTGTGTCAGCAATGGGTTCTGGTAGGTGGGGGTAATGGCCCTGCCTGGCGCCCAAAAAGGGGGCACGACCCCGAATGACCTGCCGACCACTGTTAGACAAAAGCAAGGTGGAGCAGGCAGCGTTAACGGTCGGGCGTAGAATGTCAAAATTGTCTTAGTCATATCAAACCTAGCAACTGGCTCGTCAGCTTTCAAAGTCTCTGATGTAGCTGAAACGCGCCGAAATGAGGTTCCTCATTTGAATTTCTCGTCTCAAAAATGGTCATATTAAAAATTGTGAGCCGCGGATCTCACCAAGCCTAGGTCAGCTCTCTCCTGGACGGGACCCGGCCCGCGGTAACTGGTCTTGGTCCCTTCTGACGGCCCGCCGGTCGCCCTGACTCACCCTGTCCCTGTTTGGCCGCCTGTCATCTCGGTCCCCTCTGACGGTCCTGAGTCCTGACTCACCCTGTCCCTGTTTAGGCCGCCTGTCATCTCGGACCCCGGTGACGGCCCGTCGGTCCGCCCTAACTCACCCTGTCCCTGTTTGGCCGCCTGCTCGGCCGCCAGCTGCGTCTTGAACAGGATCTCCGCCTGGCGCGTGTTGGTCGGGTGCTTGAAGTAGGAGCCGGCGATATTCTCCTCGGCACCGCGCTCCAGACGCTGTCGGCCAGCGCGCACAGTTACAGGTCACAGGGGGTCACAGGCCGGGTCAGTCAGGGTCAGGGAGGGTGCTGAATAGAGGTAATACGGCATATGGGAAAACGAGGATAAGTGACCCTCAGGTGGAAACGTTACCCCTGGCTATAAGTGCAAAAACGATAAATAAGCACGTCACTGCGTTACTGACTCCAAAATCAGCTTCTGTCGCGGGCTGTCAGGTTTTACCAAAAACGTCTTAAAGGTACACCCTGTGGTTGTTAAAGATCTTGCAGCAGAATACAAGCGAGTCTGATAATTGAAACAGTACACAATACTCCTAAACACGCAGTGACTGACAATTGTTCCCCTGTCCCACACCCGCAGCCCGAGGCCCACGGCAACCCCAGCCAGTGCTAGGTGGCACCACACTCCGGCCCGGGCGAGCGGCGGCCCCTGGCGGCCAGACCAGCCCACCAGGGGCCGCGGCGGGGTGCGTACATTGGAGATGCGCGTCTCCTCCTGGGCCCAGTCAGTGCCGCCGGGACCCTTGTACTTGGTGCTGGTGGTCGGCGCGCCGAAACCCAGCACTGCAACAGCAGAGCGAACGTGCACCGAGCAGATGTGAGGCAGGTGAAGGCCGGGAAACGTGCCGCAAACACGCACACAACACATCGACAGCCGGGAACGGATGGGGTAACCAGAAATGAAACCAACGAAACAAGGCAGGTAGTTATTTAGCAGGGCCGCACCAAGCAACACGTCAGGCAGCGACCCGAACGCCGGTCAACACAAATGTGCAGTTTTCACTGAAATGCACACTGGTAAACACATAACCATGCAAACAGTTTAATCAGTTAAAATCATGAACGTAGCAGACCCACACAAAACGATACCAAGCAGAGCTGAGGCAGAGCTGCACAATGTAAACACCCACACCGGCTGACGGCTGTGCAGAGCAGGCCGAGCAGCTCTCTGTGCGCGGTGCCTGTGAACCGGGCCCACCCCACCCCACGGTCCCATGCAGCCCACACGCCACTGCGGCCGGCGGCCGGGGCGGCACCTTGAGGAACTTGTCCTCGCCGGCCGGCTCGCCCCAGGCGTCGGTGAGCCGGGCGGGGGCCGTGAGCGCCGGAGGACGCGTCCCCTCCTCCCCGTCCTCCTCCTGCGCCTCCTGCTGCTCCTCCCGGTCCTCCTGTCGGCGGGGCACAGCCACGGCGCCGCCCACGGCCACTGCGAGGCGTCCGCAGCGGGGCGTGACACACGGCACACATGGCACATACGGCAGTCCGCGCCGGACGTGACACAGGGCGTAATACACGGCACATACGGCAGTCCACACAGGGCGTGACACAGCACATACGGCGACAGACACCGGCCGAGTGATGCACAGCACATACGGCGGTTCACACAGACGTGATGCACAAAGTGATGCGAATAGCTGGGGACCAGGCACGCACGCTGGAGACCACACTCGCTGTACCACACGGCTGATCTGCCATTCCAACACATCGTCACATAATTGACGACTTACAGAACCAGTATAACGCCTTTTGGGGCGACTAACGGAGCGAGCGAGAGGGTGGGCCTTGCACGTGCGAAATTTCGAGGGGGTACCTCCAGCTGACTTGTGCACGGCACCCTACTAACCGGTCTCTAGCGATGTGCCAAATTTGAGCACAATCGGCCCAGCCGTTCTCGAGATCTGGAAGCGGCACCCTGCACGTGCGCACGTGCAAAATGGGTCCCAACTGACTTTTGCACGGCACCCTACTAACCGGTCCCTAACTGTGTACCAAATTTGAGCGCAATCGGTCGAGCCGTTCTCGAGATCTGAAAACGACCCCTGCACGTGCGCACGTGCAGCAGCACCCCAACTCTGGCACATGGATATGCAGTGCCTAGTGGGTGCCTACCTACATGCCAACTTTCAGCGCAATCGGCCAAGTAGTTACCGAGATATTGCAACAATTGCAAAACTGACACCTCTTCGTTTTGCACGTGGCACGTGCATAAGGGGTCACCCACATGCATCGGGAATAGTCCAATACTTGGTAGAAGGAATGAAGCTACCCTACAAAAATTACCGCATGTAAATCGGTCAAGTGGTTGCTGAGATATAAGCCTCGCAAAAGCGTCCGCACGGCCGGCCGGCCGCTCATACTCAGAAATTTCCGTTAATCTAAGTAAAGACTCCGCTCGCTTCGCTCGCTCCGTAATGAATAATTTTCAAGCGACGCATAAAACTGAGATGTAGCATTGTAAACGTTCCCCTCCTCTCAGATATGAGGCCGGTTCTCCAACATGTATGTACCAACACCCACATCCAGCCCGGACCACCAGTAATCTGAGCCCTCTGGACCCGCCCGTCTCCCCTCAGCTGACCGGGCTGTGTACGAACTGTGTGACTCATGGTTACGTACCGGGCGGCGGCAGCTTGGTCTTCTGCAGCTGCAGCTCGGGCAGCCGCCACTTCTGCTCCACCTCGTCCCAGATGGCCTGCTTCTTGATGGCCTCCAGGTCGGAGTAGTTGCAGTCCTTGCGGATGGTGGGCTGCACGCGCGCCAGCAGCTGCTCCAGCAGGCGCATGCCCTGCTCCTGGCGCCGGATCGTCTCCAGGTAGTCGTCTCGCTCGACGGCGAACTCGCGCTGGATGTCGCGGATCTCCTGCTCCTGGGCCTTCAGCTGACGGGCCGGGAGCGGCGTCAGACACCGAGTACTGAGGCACGGGAGGGCTGACACACGGCGCACACCATCCACCGCCGCAGTGAGCTGACGACTCTACTGAAAATACGCGACTAATCCCAAACCCAGCAGAGCATAGAGCCCGACACCGTTACTCCCTAAGAGCGCCACATATCAACGACTAAGATGTCATACTATGTGCATATTATCAAAATTACATGTCATGCCCCAGCAATGCCTCCGATCATTGAAAAGAATCTCTCCTTTCCACCACGTCCCCGGCTGCTAGCAGTGTGGGGCGCCTACGCACTATGGTTGGAAACGGCCTCACGGATGGCCGTGGGCAATTTCGGAATATATGTATATTTGGGGTGTCATTCTGTTGGAAATTGATGAAATGTTTTGAATTGGGCAGACAAAATTATTTAGTTGCGCATTTAGTCTCCATTATCGTACGTGGAATCGGGAGTTTCTGATAGTGGCTTTTTTGGTGCGCCGTCAAAGGTTTAAACAACCGCGCTGGTGATAGCATGTTGAGTACCTCCATGACGTTGTAAAACTGGATTATTATATATCAAAATAATACTTGTTATGTTTGCTATCGAGTGGAGTGACTCTTTTTCCCATGCATGTTCAAAATCAGGAACGGCATTGCATTCTGTTTGCAGTGTCACCACAGCAATATTTGCAAAATTACGTTTATGTTTCATTGGACATACAAAAAGTTCTCCATCGACCTCCATTGAGCTTTTTGGCAGAATGAATCTCTGTTCAATTCTGCGTAAGGGGAACGTAAAAGCAGACTGCGCACTTGTGCGCAAAATCGTCCGTGAAGCTTCATCTCCCGAGGCGTACCTACCCGTCGCTTCGTTAGCACCAGGTCGGCTCGTCAGTCTTCCAATCGCTTATCCTAATAAATGATGGTAAGAAGCAGGGTTGCGGAGTCGTGGTGGCGCCAAATCCGACTCCGACTACGACTCCGACTCCTGACTCGTTGCCATGACTCCGGCCGACTCTGTCTCCGACTCCGGACCCCTGCCAGTGTTTCGGAGTCGTGATGGAGCTGTTCCGATTCGGACCGACTCCGACTTCCACTGCGGGCTCCTGACCGACCCCGACTCCGACTCCGACTCCTGGCTCGTTGCCACGACTCTGGGCGACTCTGACTCCGACTCCGACTCTGACTCCGACTCTGACTTCGACTCCGCTCCCCTCGTAAGAAGTAACTGCTCGCCCCTGCACCTGGAGTATGGATATCGTGCAAACGTGTATGGATATCCTGGAGTATGGATATGGATATCCACCGACAGAGCAGACATACAGACATGCTGTAAACGCCATTACACTGCCAATACCATGGCAAATCAAATGGCTATCTATGGCTTTTGATCATCGTTCTACATTTTCCAAAATCTTGAACTGAATGTTGGCAATTTCTCGTGACTACTTCACGACCATGATGCATGCATTTCTGAAATTGATCTTTTTTCAACCAGCCACGTACTCGTATGATAAAATGAATGTCACCATCGTGTTCTACGCCCAAAAGTACCCATAAAACATGTGTCATGCATGGGCTGCGAATAGGTACCAGTTTTAATTTTCGGGGTTATGTGCTTACCTGATTGACCTGACTTTGACCCTGGCCAGTGGCCTATGTTTGACTGACCCCTACATTGATCTGACACTCTTTTAGCACTTACATGAAGGGTTTTGACAGTTGTGACAGTTGTGACAGATTGTTTAGGACCAACTGTTGACTGAATTTATTTAGGACCAACTGATGACGATATAATCGAAACGCGAAACGCGAGGCACCGATTGCGAGGTTCTAAAGTCCATGCTACTGAAAGCCCGATTTCAAGTATTTGACCTGACCTTGACCCGACCTGTGACCTCGAAATTCAACTTTAAAGTATTCATGTGAATCGTCTCGTCGTGTTCTTCTTTCGTTTGCCGCGCCTCGTGCGTTTCGCTGCGCCTATTTGTTCGCGAGTTATCGGCTGGGGGCGTTGAACGCCCCCCCCCCCCCCGGCAAACGGCGGATGGGGAAATACCCCAGCAACTGCCGGGTTAATCTGACGCATGTTTTGTCATTTGATCGTCATTTCATTTCTTACGTTTTTGCCCAATCTAAAAAAAAAATCATAAATACTCTTTCTCCAAATTTTTGACCCTTTATGACCAATAGTAAGACACTGTGCGTCACTACGTTGATATTTCTCGCCAGAAAGCATAACAACAATATCCATTCAGTAAAAGCAGTATTCAAAACATGTTCAAAATGCCTCGCGATATCGATAACATAAGGAAAGACATAGGCGACTTATAACATACTTGCAATGATGACGTCACACACGCGTGACGTGACGTGACCTCGTCATTTCTGAGTTACTGTATGATGCACGAAGGACACTGGTATACCTATGCAAAGTTTCATCGCAGTCGGTCTACGCATTAACAAGTTATGGGCAAAATATTTATTTCGCGTTGACCCCCGGCCATCCGTGAGGCCGTTTCCAACCATAGTGCTACGGCGTGTTACGGGCACCGCTATGATACTGCACCGCAGTGCCACGGTGCTCGGCGGCACAGCCTACCTCCCTCCCACACCAGCGCGCCGCCCGTCCCGCCGCTCGCCGCTCGCAGCGCGCACTCACCCGGCTCTTCATCTTCTTGGCGAGGTCTGTGCGCGCGCGCAGCGTCGACTGCACGTCGTCGTACGCCTTGACGAGTATCTCGTCATCGTCCTCGTCCTCTGCGGCGCTGCGTCCGAGCGCGGCGGCGATCTCCTTCCGACGCCGCTGCACCTCCTCGTTCTGTTTGCGGCGCTTCATCACCGCCTGCTGGTCGTTGGCCGACTCGCCGCCCACAATCTGCTGCTGCAGCACGCGCAGTCTGCAGCGGACGCGGGGTGCGGGAATACAGGAAGGGCGTTCTGGGCGCGGTCTGCCTTAATAAGATAAGGTTTGTTACTCCTTGCTGGACGTGTCAACTATGGGACGTAGTCCAACGTCAAATAATAACAGCTGTTCTGTCGTTGAGCAAAGAAACACTGAACTCACATTGTCATTACTCTGCTGTAAGGACGTGCCGCCCATCACAGAGGAAAAGGTCATAAAAGCATCATAGTTAACAATAGACCTATTATTATGCCCATAATACGGGTTTACGAGATAACTGTAGGCCTGCTAGGCAATCATCTATTCAACTAAGTGACGAGGCTTCTGCGGCATGATTGATCAGCGGTGTGCGGCACTGACTTTTCGTAGACCTCTGGGTCGACGTTTTGCGGTATGGCGCCGCCGGACATCATGGCTTTCTGAGCCTCCAGCTCCTCCTGAGGACACAACAGTGAGAGGTCGTAGCGAGAGGACAGGACACCGCGGGCCGGGGTGAGATGACAGCACACCGCGGGACCGGGGTGAGATGACAGCACACCGCCAGCCGGGGTGAGGGAGCAGCACACCGGGCCGGGGTGAGGGAGCAGCACACCGGGCCGGGGTGAGGGAGCAGCACACCAGGCCGGGGTGAGGGAGCAGCACACCAGGCCGGGGTGAGGGAGCAGCACACCAGGCCGGGGTGAACCGTCAGCTGTGCAGTACTGCAGTAACCAGCGTCAGACCGGCATCTCAGACCGGTGCCTCAGGTGCGCACACACACAGCGAGTGTGCAGGCGATATACAGCAGCTCAGGGCTACCTCACCCGGCTAGGGCACTGGGGTCGAGATCAGCATATGGAGAGGGGGTCACCACATGTAGGTACACAGTCGATAGCTGAATCATATCTATCATCTTCCGCCACTATTTCAGCTTCGCTACACTACTTGCGTTAGTTCCTTTCCTTTCACAAGAATGATGATCACAAGTTACTCCCAGCAACATCCATATAAAAGATAGCAGGTAACGGTGAAATAGCGGCCTCCCTCCCTTGGCGCTCATCCCAGCGACCCGCAGCGGGGCGGCGACTGACCCTCATTTTGCGCTCCCGCTCCTCGAACTCGGCCCGTATTTTGGCAGCCTGTTTTTCCACTTCGGCCGGGTCGGGCGGTCCGCTGCCGCCGCCGGCCTTCTGCTGCTTCTCCAGCTCCTTTTTCATCTTCTTCATCTCCTGATCGTACTCGGCCTTGAGCTTCTCCCGCTCGCGCTGGATCGCCTCCTCGTCCACAACTGGAACAGCGGTAGTGTGGGTCAGACAGTGCGACTCTGGCCACAGCTGAGTAACGCTGGAACAGCGGCGGTGGGGGGCAGTGGGTCAAACAGTGCGACTCTGGCCACACAGCTGAGTAGCAGTACACCACTGGAGCAGCGGGGGCCGCGTCAGACAGTACGGCGAAGACAATTCACTGCTACCCACAGCTGAGTAGCAGGTACCGCTGAATACAGCTGATCGGAGACCGTTGGTTACATAACTGAACTACCGCTGATGAGATAGCTCACACAAGGTCAAACAAAAAATGGCAGTGGTTTGCATTGCCTGATGATGAAATCAGCGAACAAGAATCTGGCAAAGTTCGTTCGAGGTCTGCTGATTGAAAACCATGCATCAAGCACACGCCGAAAAAGGCCCGCTTCAACACCGTCACTCGGAAAAAAAGGTGCCAAACATGAACAATGGGCATTGGGCGCGTACCCAAAAAATTCATCAATCTTGAGAACCCCAAGAAAAACATCCCAACAAACGGCAAGTCCTGTTTCGTGAATGAGTGTAAGGTTATGTTTGTTCCCTCCGGAACAACCAAAGAAATAAAAAGAAAATAAGATAAACAGCCAAACCTTTGCAAAACAAAAGCAAAAAGCTGAACCATTCCTTTCACAATCACTTACACGGGTCTGAAGTAAGATCACCTGCATGAACACATGGCCAGGGTGATCAGTTCTCTTCCATTGCCACATGGCGCACGGACATTGGACGTGCGTGGCACTTGTGTCATGGGTGCACGGGTGTAGGTGTGTGAGAGAGGGCGGGTTGGCTGCTGTTTGGCACCCGCCACACAGCGGCACTGTCCCGGCACCAGTGAGGCACGCACTGACGACAAACACCGGTGATTTGAGCGGACACCAGCCGCACCCCATCAGACCAGCACTTGACGAGCTAGCGGTCTACGCAGCCGGCTATATCGCGGTCAGCTCCACAAGTGCAGAAATGGTGTCTTTAGCTGCAGTGCATCGAATGTTTTTTTTTTTTTGTTTAAAGGGACTATCCCACCTTTAACATTGGGGTTTGAGTTGAGATAGCCAAGTTTGCGGCGAGGTTCAGAAACCACTATCTATCTAGGTTGCAACCCCCGCGGCCTCTTGGTGTTGAAGAAATTCGTTCCTTTCATTTGAAAATGGGCCTTGCGCAAGGCCCTATCTTCAACATGGAGCGACCGTTAGTGTGACGTCACCTCGTTTAGTCATTCTGATTTAAATGGGTTTGTTCGTTGAAAAATCGCTTAAAACTTGGTCTGAACTTTGTTGTGGTGCCTAACAGAGTAAAAAGAATCAACTTTATGACAGTAATGTGGCCTGGGGAAGGAGGTAATTTTGGGCTGTGACGTCACATATTTGAAAGTTTGTGTTTGGAATATGGGAAGTCTAAGATGTTTAATGAAAAATAAATGCCAGAACCGTGTTCCTGGTCATCCAATCTATAAAGTCGGGCGCAATTTAACTGGTTGTAACAACATTTTAGAAGGTGGGATAGTCCCTTTAAATGACGTTTGTTTTGTTGCTGATCCTTTTAACAAAAGTATTGCACACAACTAATAAAACCAGTCACGACGAGTAACATTATCCACGCCAATACACCACGCCATCTAGGCAGCCACAGTACCACCACGCCACGGACTAACCCACGTCACTACTGACTACACTTACAGTCCACTGGCCGCCGGCCAGGCCGCTCACCTTTCTCGAGTTTGACCTGGGCGGGCCCGCCGGCCGACTCTAGCTGCTCCTTGAGCTTCTTGATCTCCTCGGCGTACTCCCTGAGCAGGGTGTCCTTGGGGTCCTCGTTGATCTTGGGCTTGTTCTTGATCTGTTTGGCGCGGTTGGCGTAGCGCAGGGTGCTGACCGTCTCGTCGTAGTTGTTGTCGGCTGGCGACAGGCAGGCCACCATCATCGTCTTGGTGTTGCCTCCCAGAGAGTCCTGTGAACCGGTCAAACGGGCTAACACGGGACAATCGGTATACGCTGACCGCGGAACACTGCTATCACCGGACTCGGAAACTTTATGGGCTGACCATGCAATCAGCTAGGATAACCGAAATCGGAAACGAGCAATTGAAAAAGACGCACGGATAATCAACTATCTAACGTTTTAGCACGGCCACACCATTGTGCACATTAGGCTGATAGAATAGTCTGCCACACATTAATCCTATTGTCTTTTCACGCACCAGCGGCCAATGGTCATCGGTCGGCAGCGTCGGGGCAGCCAGGGATAACGATCAGATTGACGGCAAACCCCTCTCATCCATTTAGAATTGGAGCCGTGGTCGGCGACGACATGATAAATGGATCGCGTCTAACGTTCAGCACCAAATCGGCCCCCTACCCCGCAGCCTGACGTGATATCGCCAGAAGCTGGCTGCTGAGGCCGTGCAGCCGGCGAATAGCTGGGGACTGTGGCGCTGCATTGTGAATAAGTAACTACACCTGTTACTGCACAACTCTGTACCGGGCGGGCGGGGCCGGGCGGGGATGCGGGCCACACTGCGGGCCGGGTGAGGGCGCCGCGTTTCACCGCAGGGCGGAATGAGGACAGGACGGTGCCTGCCGACTGACCCAGTTACGGGGAACGACACGGGCGTGTTGGAAGGGTATGGTGTCGGCGGTCTGCGCTATAACCGACTGCGGAGGGGCGACAGACTCCCACACCGTGAAGTGGCTCACGGTCGTACGAGCTCAGGACGGTGTCGGTACCGCGCAGGACATGGCTGCTATGAACGTAACACAATGCCCCGATCACGGGATGGTAACTATGGTATAATGAGTTTGCGTAAACCTTAGTACGAGGTAACTCGATAATCGCACACAGCTGCACTCTCTGACTTGAACGTGAATTCAAACAGGCCGTGGCACAAACCTGACCTTGACGATGCCATTTTCGATTTATATGTCCCAAAATGGACCATAAAACCGGTGTCGTATGACCTATAAAAGCTCTGATTTCCTTGACCATATGTGACCTAGGCTGACTCACCCTTGACCTGAAACATACAGAGCACAAGCTTGGTACCCAGAGAATATCTGCGATATTGCACTTATGAGTGTGTATATTAAACATGAATATGATGTGAATTATATGGCATAGGCGGCGGAACGGGGAGGGCACCGGGGCACCGTGCCCCCCTTCGATTTGGGCATTTTAACATTAGCCCTATGGGTGTTGCATGGAAAGAATGGGACCAAAAGTCGGCAGTGCCCCCCCCCCCCCCTTAAAGGAAGACTGCCACCTTCAAAAAGTTTTCTCAGATCGGCCTATGATTTATTCCCTGGACAAAACAAAATTTTAGAATTCACCTGACAAAGTATCATCACGTGAATCGCGAAAAAAAAATTGTCGATTATCATACAATTATCAATCGGTTAATGTCTAGCGACAATGTTTACACATCACTAGACTTCAAGGTCATAAGATTATTACATTTTATTTGAAAAAGTAAGGTATTTTATGATTAACTAATATATGATTTCATAAGAAATTGGCCATGTTTAATTTATTTTGCATTTAAGTTCGTAAAACATTTAAAAATAATGGCTCATTTGAAATGGGTCTGGCCCATGTTAAACCCCATTTCCCACACTTTTTTGGAAAAATGAACTACTGAATATATAAGTTTAACTTTTATTTTGACACTCCAAAATTCTTCTCTGATCTCGAAACAATCAAAGTTTTGACATATATTTACCAAAAGATAAGAAAATTCATGTTTCAAAGTTATCGATAAACAGTAGAGATGTCGGTTTTCTTGGACTAAAAAAATGGCATCAAACTGAACTTTGGTCTCCGATTTCTCGCAAACGGGTTCGAATTTCGGAAAACCGACTTCAGTCTGGGACATAGGTGGCTCAGCTCTAGTGAAAACCGTTTTGTGAAAAAAAGGTGGCAGTCTACCTTTAATTGAAGGTGTTCCGCCGCTACTGTTACATGGCGGCGGCCAGAGCCAGGTGTGGGTTCCTTTCGACAGTTTATTCCGGGACTATACAACACCGTTTGAATTTTGGCAATCCAACCAGTGCATTCGGAGATAGGAGGGGGTCTACACAGCCTCCCCCCCCCCTAGTCAATCGCGTAATGGAATATACCCGTCATGCGCGGGCTAGTCAAGCAATGACATCAGTGCGTGCGGAAACGCATCATTTCTTAGTTCTTACTAGTGATGTCAATTACGGAAAATCGGAATACCGATACCAAACCAAATACCAACCAAAACCACGGGAAAATACCGAAACCAAACCAACTTGGGAAACTGAGGGAAATACCAACTTTTTACCGATTTATTAGCCTCTTATACATTAGTGAGGGCTTATGATACCAACAAAATACCAAACACATTAGGATTGAAATACCAAATACCAAGTTGGTATCGGTTTGGTATCGGTATACCAAAAAGTTGGTATCTGATTGACATCTCTAGTTCTTACCGTCTGCCAAACCGGCCATAAATTTCAGCTGTGCGGCTTCTTGGACGCTGCACACTTCATTAGGCAGTGGACACGATAATGTCAATAATTTAGCGTCCATCCTCACATTAACCGCTGCACCATGCAGTTGCACACTGCACAAATGAGCGCTCATTACCCATGATCTACAATAAGGCTGTCAAAAACATGTTCACCGCGAGTTGCTGGGGGGGGGGGGGGGGCGTTAAACGCCCCCACTTTTTTCGCCGGGCCATAGCATAAAAACGGCGCGCCAAATTTTGGGTACCTGAAGGGAATTGATTGAAGTTAATTGTGACAAAGTTTCAAAAAATCGGTCGAAAATTTTTTGAGATATCGAGGTTTTAGTGACGTCATGATTTCTGAGTTTTCGACCAAAAACGGCATATGTTCAAAAAATCATATAAAATCACAGAATAGACAAAGACATGCCGTAAAGGCCATTAGAATGCCAATACCACGAACAATTAAAGGGCTATCTTCGATTATTGATTATAGTTCCGCATTTTCCAAAATCTTGAACTGAATCTTGACAATTTCTCGTGACTACTTCACGACCATGATACATGAATTTTTTTAAATTGAACTTTTTGAGCCAAACACGTACACATATGATAAAGTGAATGTCACCATCGTGTTCTACGGCCCAAATTACCCATAAAACATGTGTCATAGGCTGCGAATATCAGTTTTGATTTTCGGGGATATGTGCCTACCCGGTTGACCTGACCTTGACCCTGACCTATGCTTGACTGACCCCTACATGGAGCTGACACTCTTGTAGGCCTTATATGATGGATTGTGCACCGTTTTGACAGAGTTTCTGACGAGAGGCGCCCTTTGCGAAGTCCTGAAGTCCATGCTACTGAAAGCCCGATTTCAGGTGTTTGACCTGACCTTGACCCGACCTGTGACCTCAAAATTCAACTTTGAAGTACTCATCTGAAGCGTCTCGTCGCGTTCTTTCGTTTGCCGCCTCGTGCGTTTCGCTGCGCCTATTGGTTCTCGAGTTATCGGCTGGGGGCGTTTAACGCCCCCCCCCCCCCAGCAAACGGTGGGTGGCGAAATACCCCAGCAACTGCCGGGTTAAAGACCCGGCGTATATGAAGTCAGAAGGGGAAGCCAGATGGGAAGCCTAACACTGCAGAGTTCCGAATGACAGGCACTGGACGCATAAGACTGCAGTTTGCAATAACACCCAATAGCAGAACGCGCAATATTGCAACCAAGCGATTGGAAACGCACAAATATCCCCAGTCATGTTATGTTATAAAAATGCTTCGTAGCCTGACATCTCGGTGCATTTTTGAGTCTGTAGCCCAGTGTTTTACCTGCAGCAGTCGGGTCAGTTTGGAGTCCCGGTACGTTTTGTATCTGTAGCTCAGCGTTTTACCTGTAACAGTCGGGTCAGTTTGGAGTCTCGGTAAGAGATGTGCCTGTAGCTCAGTGTTTTACCTGCAGCAGTCGGGTCAGTCTGGAGTCTCGGTAAGAGATGCGAGTCTGTAGCTCAGTGTTTTACCTGCAGCAGTCGGGTCAGTTTGGAGTCTCGGTAGGGGATGTGTTTGCTCTTGCCGTCGACCAGCGCTGAGATGACGTTTCCCAGCGCGGACAGCGACAGGTTGATTTTGGTGGCCTCCTTCAGACGATCGCCGGTGGCACCTGCCGGAGACGCGGCCGACATCCACCGTTATCACGGCGCCCAACCAGTATACACTCACATTGCTACCACACATGTGAAAACGCCTCGGCCCCAGCGGCCGGCACGCACCCGTCTTTCCCTGTCGCTCGGAGCCGGCCAAGTCGACCAGGTTCAGCTTGCCGGCGCGGATGTTGTCCTTGGCGCCCGGCTTTTTGGCCGGCGTGATCATCTCGATGAAGATGGTGAAGATGGAGTGCGAGCGCGACGAGTCCTTGTTCATCAGCGTCTCGCCGACGGAGCGGTTGTTCCAGCCCTTGGCCATGAGCGCCTCGCACTCCTTGGTGTTGGCCACCGGGTGTTTGGTCAGGTCCTGCACGTAGACGCCCTTCTCCGGGTGCTCCTTCAACTCGATCTTCTTCTTGGAGTCGACGCCCAGCAGGTCGCGGATCTCCTCGTTGTAGATCTCCAGGTAGGAGCCGTGCACCTGCCGGAACAGACGTGTGGGCGTCGGATACATACAGCAAGGGTGCCGTCGGTGCCGCAGACATGCCGGGTGACAAATGCTGCTGGATTGTATATGTGAAGTCAAGGCATTTCATAACAACAGTGACCAATTTATTCTGAGGGCAACGTAAAAATGTTTTTATTCAACATTCCGACGCATGAGCACATCAAATTAAGTGCGACAATGGCAAACAGCTGTGAGTCATACAGCAGAAAATAATAGTATCTTTCCGTCTTTTAAGTTCAATTACTTTAAGCAATTATCTACGTTTGGAGCCCCTCCCCCTCCATCTAGCCAGTCAGGCACGCCAAATCCCCCGCCTCCTCTGCCCCCGTCACCGAGGAGCACGGCCGAGCGGCCGACCCGGCCCGGTCACCCCGGGCCTGTACGTACTCACCAGAAACTTGGACTCGTCCGAGGTGGAGGTGACGTCGAATATGTGCTCGAACGCGCGCGGGATGAGGCCGACCTGCGTGGGCGGGTCCTTGATGCCCTGCATGGAGAACGACTTGCCGCAGCCGGTCTGTCCGTAGGCGAAGATGGTGCCGTTGTAGCCTTCGAGGGTGCCCTCGACCAGCGGGTAGGCCATGTCCTTGTAGATGTTCTCGGTGATGGAGTCCATGTAGTAGACGCCGTCGAAGGTGAAGGACTTTGGCGGCGCGTTCTTGTCGGCCGGGTTGACGATGGAGACCTGCATCACGCTCGGCTCCATGAACACAACCACCTGAGCACGGACAGGAGGGGAGGGGGAGGGGGGAAGGGGTCAGTACAACTGTCAGTAGCCGGGTTGACGATGGAGACCTGCATCACGCTCGGTTCCATGAACACCACCACCTGAGCACGGACAGCAGGGGAGGGGGAGGGTCAGCGGGACTGACGGCGGTAGGGGGGTCAATCTGCGGACCGATGGAGAACAACGCAATACAGAAAACTATTTAGTTACCGCTACTGTCAAAGCAGGGAGGGGCTACTGTCAGAGGAGGGATCATGATAAAGTCAACTCTTTATTTTCTCTCGTCATTAACTGCATGGCCGGATACGACAAACCACCCACCGACTTTATCTGGCTTGTAACGTGGCCATTGGGCAGACTGTGGCACTGATCGGTGCAAGCCAATCCCGTCGAAAGCGGCAAAAAGACCAAAGTCAGACTGGCCAAAGCCGAGTTCTGGACTTTATCTGGAGATAATCATCTCTCTCCGCCGATCAAGTGAGGACGACAAAGTGAGCGATCCTGTACAACTTTCCGCGGGTAGTGTCGGCCGGTGCCGATAGTAACAACGTCACGTCCTTCCACACCAATGGTGCCAGCCGGGCGTTTCCCGAGCCACCGTCCGCCGTCCCTGAATCATGATAGGATATACCAGCGCTGACTTCAGTAGCCGTGCTGGAAACCGTGACAGTACCGCCAGAGGCCGTTCCATGCAAAAGCACCACCCCATAAATTTCCAACTGAAACATGGTTCACTCAGCACGGCCGTAACATACAGTCCAAAAGGATCCGTCCAATTGTCTTGCGGCTTCAATTAAATAAAGCACGACTTCAGGAGCGTTACGTAACCGTATGGTCCTGCGCGCTGGCCAATGGCGAATATTCGCGTGTACCTTGCTTTGAGTAATGGCCACATGGTGCGAGGACTAGCCAGGAAACATGCCGAAGCAGAGCAAGGCAGAGCACACCCTCGGCCAAGGTCGGATGGTAGCGGGAAACGGGCCGGGCCCCAGTGACTGTGTGTGTCGGCTCAGCCACCGGTCACTGTGGGACCGGGCCGGGCCCCAGAACCCGTGTGTATCGGCTCAGCCACCACCCATCGCTGGGGTTACCCAGCCGCCGCCCCTCCCCTCCCTCCACCGCGTGCGTGGTCCGCTGCACAGGCGGCTCACAAACCGGGCTGGGGCCTCGGTGGCCGTAGCCTTCTGCAGCTGCTTCAATGGCACACACTCCGCGCCAATCGATGAGCGAAGTCCGCTCCCAGGCGGTCTCAAACGGTGACCAGCGGAGCGCCGGCCACCGACCACCGGCCACCGGGCCCGGGGCCCAGGCAGGACAACAGGTGACGGGCGCAGGGCAACCGATACTATCGCCCCGGTCAGGATATAGCCTATACTGCTCTATAGGGAGGCAAATTGGAATTGTTATTGTTGCGGGAAAGCCCACATCCAGAGAAGTCACGTGATTTCGCCTGAACAGCAGTTGGCCCGAGTACGTTTCAGGCGGCCTGCACCAAAGCTGCCCGTCAAACGTGAGCGTGCCACGTATCAAAGAAGTAGCACATTTCAGCACGCACCACAGGGCACCCTACTCCATTGCAGTGCGCACATACATACAAATGATTCGGCGGGCCCAGGGGCGACATTACACATCGATTCGTCGGCGGTCGGCGCTGCAAAGGTCGCAGGCCGGCCGTGGGACTGTCGGCCGGCCCGGCCCGGCCCGGTCGGACCGGCAGGCCGGGCGCAGTGCACTGGTATACACACTCACACACACACACACGACTGTTTACGGTCGATCGGAGCGGGCGCCGCTGGCCGGTCGATGGTGACCACCAATAGCACAGCGCGCCGCGGCGCCGCGCCGTGACATTGCCCCGGCCGGCGACCGCCCGTCCCCCTGAGGCATTACCCCCGGCCGGCGACCGCCCAGAGGACTGTGATATTACCCCGCCCTGTGCACTGACATAACCCACGGCCGGCAACCGCCCGTCCCCCTGAGGCATTACCCCCGGCCGGCGACCGTCCAGAGGACTGTGATATTACCCCGCCCTGTGCACTGACATAACCCACGGCCGGCAACCGCCCGGCCCACTGAGGCATTACCCCCGGCCGGCGAACGTCAGAGCCCACTGAGGCATTACCCCCGGCCGGCGACCGTCCAGAGGACTGTGACATTACCCCGCCCCGTGCACTGACGTAACCCCCGGCCGGCAGCCGCCCAGCCCACTGAGGCATTACCCCCGGCCGGCGACCGCCCAGAGGACTGTGACATTAGACATTACCTCCCCCTGCACCCGTGACATTGCCCATTGTCCCGACCCGGCGCAGTGACATTTCTCCCGCCCGGCGACCAACCAGTGCAATGACATTGCCTCGGCCGGCCCCTGACAAAACCCCCACCCGGCCAGGAGCAATTCAACGTCATAATACCCCCGCCCCACCCGGCGAAAGCCCTGCGACTGGCCGGCACTGATATGACGTGATGACTGCCGCGCATCACAGGTTCACAAACAGCGTGTAAGTACCAAAGGACCACTTAACACAGCAACGGGAACACGAGTCGGAGGCAAATACCGGTGGCGTTATAACCAGTGCCTGGCCCGGACGGGTCAGCACTCAGCAGCGTGTCACCCGTGACTGGGGCGAGTCCACTCACCTCACAGTTGAGACCCTTCTCTCGACTGTTCATGGGCCGACATCGGACCAGCACCTTGACGGATTCGGCCATAGTGCGGTCTCCCTCAGCCTGTGAACACAGCACCGGTCGGTGGCAGTCAGTAGAGACACTGCATAGATGGCACACTGCTCACATGTCCCGCCCCTATGCCTATACAGTATACATTGGCAGCTCCCTATACGGAGCAGCGCCCGGCGTATCGCCGCGGGTGGCCACGATATCACGACAGAACTGCTGACAGGACGCAGCACAGTCAGACAGTGCGCCCGACGGCGGTCGGCGATATATCCCACATTCTATCAGCGAACGGTAAGAGCGATCCCTACCCGGGAAACGGGCACACATGACATGTGCCTATCGAGGGGCAACCTACATGAAACACGAGCACACGTTCAAATCATTAACGTTAGCAACAAAGGCGTGCCACCGGCTAGATAACCACTGCCAAGAAAATAAAGGTACCTATGGTTGCTGAGAGAAACCAGCATGTTAAATTGTCAATGTTCTACCAGTGGCGGCGGAACACCTTCAATTAAGGGGGGGGGGGGGGGGGCACTGCCGACTTTTGGTCCCATTTTTTCCATGCAACGCCCATAGGGCGAAAGTTAAAATGTCAAAATCAAAGGGGGGGGGGCACGGTGCCCCGGTGCCTTTCCCGTTCCGCCACCTATGTGTTCTACATCTTCTGCTCTAAGCAAAGTGCTAAAATGTCTGTGACATATAAGTGCATGCATGCTAAAATGTCCTTTAGGAAGCCATTGCTCCGACCCCGCCCGTTCCCGTAGTTTTGTCACAGTGAATTTGAGACGGGCATTGGGCAATGACATTCTTACCTTCAAAAGTTAGGGTTGCCTTCTCGCAGATTCTGAACCTAAGCTGAATTCAAAAAGGGTGAAGAAAACAAGGCAGTAAAACATTTCAAAACTTCTGTGTTTCATGTTCCTGAGCAAGGGGCTCACATTTCAGCAATAAGGTAAGGTCGCCGAGGTTTGTCCACATCTGAAAAAGAAGAAACGATCAGTTATAGCAAACAATCAGATAAGGTAAGCACAAGCCACACTCGCTGATTCGAGCACACACTCGGTTTCTTTGTCGTGTTGATTCCATCCATGGAATGTCCAGAGGACAGAGGTAACTGCCACTCTTCCGTCCCGAACTGAGAAGGTACAGCGCTGTGCTGGTACTGCCGGCTGGTGACAGAGCCCAGGTTCGAGTCACTCCGACACCGACTGCTGGCTGGTGACAGAGCCCGGGTTCGAGTCACTCCGACACCGACTGCTGGCTGGTGACAGAGCCCGGGTTCGAGTCACTCCGACACCGACTGCTGGCTGGTGACAGAGCCCGGGTTCGAGTCACTCCGACACCGACTGCTGGCTGGTGGCAGAGCCCGGGTTCGAGTCACTCCGACCCCGACTGCTGGCTGATGACAGAGCCCGGGTTCGAGTCACTCCGACCCCGACTGCTGGCTGATGACAGAGCCCGGGTTCGAGTCACTCCGACCCCGACTGCTGGTTGATGACAGAGCCCGGGTTCGAGTCACTCCGACCCCGACTGCTGGCTGATGACAGAGCCCGGGTTCAAGTCGCTCCGACCCCGACTGGGTTCGAGTCACTCCGACACCGACTGCTGGCTGGTGGCAGAGCCCGGGTTCGAGTCACTCCGACCCCGACTGCTGGCTGATGACAGAGCCCGGGTTCGAGTCACTCCGACACCGACTGCTGGCTGGTGACAGAGCCCGGGTTCGAGTCACTCCGACACCGACTGCTGGCTGATGACAGAGCCCGGGTTCGAGTCACTCCGACACCGACTGCTGGCTGGTGGCAGAGCCCGGGTTCGAGTCACTCCGACACCGACTGCTGGCTGGTGGCAGAGCCCGGGTTCGAGTCACTCCGACACCGACTGCTGGCTGATGACAGAGCCCGGGTTCGAGTCACTCCGACACCGACTGCTGGCTGATGACAGAGCCCGGGCTCGAGTCACTCCGACACCGACTGCTGGCTGGTGACAGAGCCCGGGTTCGAGTCACTCCGACCCCGACTGCTGGCTGATGACAGAGCCCGGGTTCAAGTCACTCCGACCCCGACTGGGTTCGAGTCACTCCGACACCGACTGCTGGCTGGTGACAGAGCCCGGGTTCGAGTCACTCCGACCCCGACTGCTGGCTGATGATAGAGCCCGGGTTCGAGTCACTCCGACCCCGACTGCTGGCTGATGACAGAGCCCGGGTTCGAGTCACTCCGACACCGACTGCTGGCTGGTGACAGAGCCCGGGTTCGAGTCACTCCGACCCCGACTGCTGGCTGATGACAGAGCCCGGGTTCAAGTCACTCCGACCCCGACTGGGTTCGAGTCACTCCGACACCGACTGCTGGCTGGTGGCAGAGCCCGGGTTCGAGTCACTCCGACCCCGACTGCTGGCTGATGACAGAGCCCGGGTTCGAGTCACTCCGACCCCGACTGCTGGCTGGTGACAGAGCCCGGGTTCAAGTCACTCCGACACCGACTGCTGGCTGGTGACAGAGCCCGGGTTCGAGTCACTCCGACACCGACTGCTGGCTGGTGACAGAGCCCGGGTTCAAGTCACTCCGACACCGACTGCTGGCTGGTGACAGAGCCCGGGTTCGAGTCACTCCGACACCGACTGCTGGCTGGTGACAGAGCCCGGGTTCAAGTCACTCCGACCCTGATCCCGGTCAGCTGAAGTGCCCCATGGTATGTACGGCTTCAGCTGTTGGTACCTAAATACCTTCGCCAAAAATGGTCGCAGAACCAGGATTTTGGCAGCATCGTGTTCGCCACGCTCCGGCGCGTCGAATGGCATACATATTATTGAGTGAGATCAACTTGGTGTTGACCTAGGTTAACCCGCGCCCCACTGGGGGGGGGGGCTATTTATAGCCCCCCCTCCCGTTTTTCTGCAATAACTTCCAAACCGCTTGACGAATCGACGCCAAACTCTCAGTAGGTACCTTCGGCTGCATCAATTTGACACCTTGTGTCAAAATTTGAACTTCGTAGCTACCATAGGTCGGCCGGAAATGACGTCAGAGTGACGTCATGTTCGTCCGATTTCGACGCAAAACATTGAACCACGGCAATCGCTCCCAAGAGCTCAGTTTTTAAGCTAGATCCAATTTCTTTGCATGACAGGACTCAGAATTGACCGCGCTATCAAACTGCTATCTCGGATTTTCAAAATTTTGAAAATTTCGAAAATTTTATATAATAATATTCAAAATTTATATTTTTATATTTTTTTTCAAAAAGTTTTAGACTTTTCGAAAAAACCGGAATATATGTGACAGAACGCATGATTATGACTAACTCTAGCAAGTTTTAGCTAAATATCTTCAAAAATGGCCAAGTTATACGAATTATTGCAAAAAATTCACAATTATTAATTTTTCAAATCAATTTTTCAGTACGTATTTGGCATCGTACACCAATATAAATGGCACCATCGTGTTCCTGAGCTCAAACTGCATCCAATAGACACCTTTTTTGTTGAAAAATTTCAACTTCAAAATTTGACCTTTTTTGACCTGAAAGTGACCTGACCTAAGCTAATTTCGACTCAAAATGACCTTGAATGACACACACGACATCAAATTCGAAATATATGGCCTAAATGGACCATAAAACATGTGTCACGTGACCGACGCATGATATAATATTTTCGTGACCTGTGATGACCTGACCCTGACCTGAAAATCAAAGTACAAGTTTGGTACCCTCAAGGTATCTAGAGCATCTGCTCACGAGTGTGGAAACCAAAAATGAGCCTGATCTGACTTGTAAGACGGCGGCCAGAGCCCAAAATGTGAACAAGCCAAAGTGCTGATAATTTTTACTTTGACCTGACCTGTGACGTCATCGGTGACCTCGAGGTCAATGAAATTAGGTTTCGCTCGACAGTTTTTCCGGGGCTATCAGACGCCGTTTGAATTTTGACGATCGGCCCAGTAGTTTCAGAGTTAGGAGGGGGGGGGCTATGAATAGCCCCCCCCCCCCCAGTAGGGCGTTTTATACACAGACCCCAGTGGGGCGCGGGTTAAAGGTCAGGCCAAAGCCACTCAGGCCAAAGTTTGTCGAAGGATGTCATATCGCACATCATTCGATTCGGCAGGTCTTCCAAAGTCCAATGGCGGCTTTCCCGACTCCTAGCTAAATTTGATCGGGAGTTATTGACGAAATATCTCCTAACCAGGGTTTGGTGTTTGTAGTTTGGTCACCAGCTAAAGGGTCATTATGTTACCCTACGAGCATGTAAATATTCCTTGCTGCTTAAAAGTACCTACCATGAACCCACTGCACGTTTATGACCACCACCGATTCACCGGTGTTACTTATGTCGAACGTTCGATGCACTTCAGGTAGATGGCCAGTGGCGCAGCCAGGGGGGGTCAGAGGGTCAGCTGACCCCCCCGAAATTTCTGTCAGGGGCCCGCTCGAGAGAGAGAGTGAGAGAGAGAGAGAGAGAGAGAGAGAGAGAGAGAGAGAGAGAGAGAGAGAGAGAGAGAGAGAGAGAGAGAGAGAACGGGCCCGGCCCCCTGGGTGGATGGGACCCGGGCCCCCTGTAGATGGGTCCGGGCCCCCGGGTGGATAGGGCCCGGGCCCCCCGGCGGATGGGGCCCCGGTGGATGGATCCGAGCCACCGGGAGAACGGGCCCCGGGTGGACGGGGCCCGGACCCCCGGGTCCCGCGAGAACGGGTCCAGGCCCCTCGGGTGGATGGGGCCCGAGGCTCCGGGAGAACGGGCCCGGGCCCCCTGGGTGGAGGGGGCCCGGGCCCCCGGCTGGATGGGGCCCGGGCCCCCGGGAGAACGGCCCTGAGCCCCGGGTGGACGGGGCCGGACCCCCGGTTGGATGGGGACCGGGCCCCGGGAGAACGGGCCCGGGCCCCCTGGGTGGATAGGGCACGGGCCCCTGGGTGGATAGGGCACAGGCCCCCGGGTGGATGGGGCCCGGGCCCCGGGAGAACGGGCCCGGGCCCCTTAGGTGGATGGGGCACGGCCCCCCCGGGTAGATGGGGCCAGGGCCCCCCGATGGATGGGTCCGGGCCCCCGGGAGTACGGACCCCAGGCCCCGGGTGGACGGGGCCCGGGCCCCCGGCTGGATGGGGCCCGGGCCCCCTGGTGGGCGGGCCCCGGAGCCCCGGGTGGACGAGGCCCGGAGCCCAGGTGAACGTGGCCCGGGCCCCCGTATGGATAGGGCTTGGTCCCCCATGTGGATAGGGCCCGAGCCCCCGGGTGAATGGGGCCCGCTAGGGTGACCCGCTTCCTTCGCAACGCGAATAAGGGGTATTTTCGATCGGTGGGCGTTTGGTTGGTCTTGTGTCTGTGGGTTATGTATCCATTACGTTCGATTGCCTTTTGACGGCTAAGCATTTTGGTTTTGGGAAAAAATATCCATCGCATCGAGGTGCTCGTGTCTGATAAGGGGAGCATTCATTCTGGCCAGGGTTCATAATGTCCAGGGTACGCTATGCCCAGTGTCAAAATGGCTAGTGCCTTGAATGGGCCAGAGTTCATAATGTCCAGGGATTGCATGGTCCAAATGTGGCCAACTGGCTGCAGATAGGGTATATTCAAAGAGGCCAGGGTTCATAATGTCCAGGGCACCATGTGTCCAGTGTTCAAAATGGCCAGGGTTCATAATGTCCAGGGCACGATGTGTCCAGTATTCGAAATGGCCAGGGTTCATAATGTCCAGGGCACGATGTGTCCAGTGTTCAAAATGGCCAGTGCCTTGAATGGGCCAGAGTTCATAATGTCCAGGGATTACATAGTCACTGAAAGTGACGTCATTATGTAAAAAACACGGAATCAGCTCAATGCAAAGCAGTGCAGTGCCGAAGGCAATGCCTTAGGAGAGATTACAGGCAATAGTAAATCAAATATTTTTAGGTTAAGTGGTTATGTATCTGGCTTCAGGCCGAAGGCCTGAAGCCTGATGCATAACCACTTAACCTAAAAATATTTGATTTACTATTGCTTGCAA